ATATAACACTGCTCGGAGCTCAGTGGGGGAGCTCTCCTGCCCGTCTCGTTTCGCGAGCGAGGGAGAGTTCCAGGTTCGAACCTGTAATAAAGATCCTTGCTGCTTAGCTTTGACTCTGGACTCTGGTGGTCTTCTTCGGGGAATAAACGGTCTGGGCATAACAATGTAACTGAACCTAGCATTATTAACTTTAAATTTTTTGAACCCGCCCAAAGGCCAGATGTTATCAGCAGCTGAACAGCATCTACAGAAAGCAGCTGCAAAGACAGAAACAGAACAACTGATTTGGTGGAGAGATCCAATAATAAAAAGTTAGGAAATAGGTAAAATAATAACTTAGGGTAGAGGTTATGCTTGCATTTCTCCAGGCCAAAATCAACAGCCGATTTGGATACCATCAAGACACCTGAAACCTTATTATGAGCCAGATGCTGAGGAAGAGACTCCGGGAGGATCCTGAGTACCCCCCAGTTGCAGCCATGTCGAGACTGGAGCTGAGGAGGAACCCAACTGTCACAAGCAACACCCGTCGAACACAGCCACCCACCTGGGGACAGATCAAGAAGCTGTCACAGATGGTGGAAGAAAACCTGAGGAAAGCAGGACAACCAGTCACAATGAATAATTTAATGGTAGCTATGATAGCAGTTATCACCACTGCTGTGAGTATTCCTTCAATAACGGCTGGTAATAATGCCTGGATACAATCACTATGACACAGTTACACATGCTTTCTGATCTCAGGATTTACCATAATAAATCTGCTCCTATAATTGAGGCATACCACCCTCAAAAACCTATTTGTAAACAGGATTGGACCCAGTTTGAAAAAATGAACGTACTTGTCTAGGAAGATTGCTTTGCAGCACGGGCAGAGGTGCTGCACAACGATTCCTATGGAATCATTATTAATTGGTCCCCCAAGGGGATGTTTAGCTTGAATTGCACCTCTCAGTTTGCGTGCCACAGTCATACTATGTTCAGATGATCTGAACAAAACGGTCAGATGGTAGAAATGATAAGAAGTATGGCAAATGTTCCTATTATCTGGAACCATGGCGATATAGTGGCACCTCAACCTCAAATGATATGGCCCGCTCTAGCAGCTTAACATAAGGATTTAAAATGAAAAGAACAAATATTTAAAGCATCCCAGGCACTCCTGACCTTAATTCCAGGAACTGGAGTGCTTAAAGGAGTTGAAAATGGATAAAAATACTTGGAAGCTCTGTGATTTCAGTGATGATTGTGTTTTTAATTTATGTTGTCTTTGTATAGTCTGCAGATGCGGATCCCGACTCCTGCGAGAAGTAGGACTTTGTCACTGTGACAAAGTTGCCCTTGCTTTTATCCCTTTGCTAATCAAAGAAGGGAGACATGTTGGGAACAGGCCCGCAAAAATCTGGCCGTAAACTGGCCCCAAAACTGGCCATAAACAAAATCTCTGCAGTAATGTAACATGTTCATAATGGCCCTAACGCCCACGCTGGAAGGTTGTGGGTTTACGGGAATGAGGGCAAGGAACACCTGGCCAGCCCAGGGTGGAAAGCCCCTTAAAGGCATTCTTAAGCCACAAACAATAGCATGAGCGATCTGTGCCTTAAGGGCATGTTCCTGCTGCAGTTAACTAGCTCAACCTATTCCTTTAATTCAGCCCATCCCTCCGTTTCCCATAAGAGATACTTTTAGTTAATTTAATAACTACAGAAACAATGCTAATGACTGGTTTGCTGTTAATAAATATGTGGGTAAATCTCTGTTTGAGGCTGCCAGCTCTGAAGGCTGTGAGACCCCTGATTTCCCACGTCACACCTCTATATTTCTGTGTGTGTGTCTTTAATTCCTCTAGTGCCACTGGGTTAGGGTCTCCCCGACTGAGCTGGTCTCGGCAGTTCAGCCTCAACTTTCACTCCCTCCTGGCTCCAACCTTCACCTTCCCGATAAAGAATGAATCCCAAACTAGTATCTCCAGTTCTGTGCTTTTCTGGAGTCTTGTAATTGCTCAGTGGACAATTCTTGCCTATTGCCACTTGAAGCATAACCTATCTCTTTCTCTCTCTAGGTCCCTCTCTGTGCGCACACACACACACACACTCCTAACTTATCCTCTTTCTCACCCTTTCCCAAACCAACTTATCAACTTTTCCACTTTCAGCAGTGCCTCAATGGCACCACTACTTTTCCAGTCTTCCATGTGGCTTTTCCACTCCTCCATTCCCTATAGCTGGTCTGTTTTTAGCTGGCTTTTTAAAGGCTTCTAAAGGTCCTGCCCTGTCTCCAGCTGTAATCTAGTTCATAGCTTATATGAACGTTATAAACTATACCATGTGACACAAATGTGAAATACCAGTACTACATCAAGATTTCTGAAATAGACTCTGGCTTGGTTACTTTTATTAATAATAATCGAATCAGCATTTGTATAGGGTTTTTAAAAAGACATTTATTATACTTTCCTCTGATTGCTAAAGTATGAACGTTTACTGTAGAAATTCTGGGAAAGCTGGGCGCGATTGCTCACATCTGTAATCCCAGCACTCTGGGAGGCTGAGGCAGGAGTATCACTTGAGCTCAGGATTTCCAGATCACCCTGGGAAACATAGTGAGACCCCGTCTCTACAAAAAAATTAAAAACATTAGCCAGGCATGATGGTGTGTGCCTGTAGTCCCAGATACTTTGGAGGCTGAGGTGGGAGAATTGCTTGAGCCCAGGTTACAGTGACTCATGATCACACTACTGCACTCCAGCCTGAGTGACAGAGCAAGACCCCATCTATTTTTTAAATATTAAATAAATAAAAAATAAACATTTTGCAGCAGATCTCTAGAACTTTTTCACCTTACAAACCTAAAATTCTACGTCCTTTAACAATTCCTCTTTTCCCTCTCTCCTAGCCACTGGCAGTCACCATTCTACTTTCTGTTTCTTAGACTTTGACTGCTTTAGATACTTCATATGAATGGAAACATGCAGTATTTGTCTTTTTGGGGGGTTGTGTTTTAAGGCTTTTGATATCTAGTACTAAACTGACCACCAGAAAGGCTGTCAACGATTTACAGTTTGACTGGAAGTGTGTGTCCATCTGGGTTGAGTTCATTGCTTGCTTAGCATCTATCAATTGTTTCAATTCTTGCCATTTTGATAGATGAACAAATAGTGGACCCAAACATGGTTTTACTTTGGATAAGGCCATTGTCCTATGAATCCTGGCTGAAATACTTGCTCCAGCACTTAGGAGCTGTGTGACCCGGGACAACTCACTAAACTTTTCAGTGCTTCTGTTCCCTTATGTGTAAATGGAGATAATAATATACACATATACATTCTAGACATTTATTATGAGGAGTTAGTTAATAAATGTGAAGCTGTAAGAACAGTGCCTGGAACATAGTATGCCCAAATGTAAGGTAGCTATTGTCATTTTTGTCAATCCTTGCTAATGTGATACATTGAAAATGACAGCTATTTTAATTTACATCTCCTCCGTAATCAGTTGAACGTGAATATTCTCTGTATTTATACTGGCTATTGGTACTTCTGTCAAGATTTCGTTTTTCAAAGCACTGCGGCAAACGGGATCTCATTTGATCCTCCCAATAAACTCATGAATGAAGAAGGTGGCAATCACCAATCCCCACTTTTCGAATTAAGAAATTGAGGCTCGGAATTCGAATTCTGAGCAATTCCAATTCCAGGATTCAGATCTCACCCTCTAAAACCTAGCAGCTGTTGCATAAAATATAACGGTGAAAAAGCTTTTGTTAGCCGTAACCACCACCCACCCACCCCGCCC